CAGGAAATGTCCCTGTCAGATTAAAGACAAGGGGAAGTAAGCCACAACTGCACTGGGCTTAAACCCACCAAACCACACTGCAGCCAGACTTTCTGAAGCACCGAGTCCTATGCTGCCTCAGGATTTTGCTTCTGCTGTCCCCTCAGACTGGGACACTCTTCCTTGAGCTGGCTGGCTCCTTTTCACCCTTCGGGAGGAAGGCAAACAGTGCTTCCTCTGAGAGCTACCATGGCCTCTCTTCCTATACACCCCCTCCTGCATCCCTGAGCTCCTGGCTTTTATATGAACCTGTTTGGTTCCTTCGCAGGACTATCACATCTGAAACCACCGTGTTTCTGTATTTACCTAGTCATTGCCTCCACCACTGGCTGGATGCCCACAAGAGCAGGGCCCTGCCTGTCTTGCTCATCACCCATGTCTGACACACTAACTAGCACCATGCAGGCTGTAAAATATTTGCTCAGTGAATTAATCAATGGATTTCCAGGGTTCTAGCTGCAACTATATCTCCTTTTCTCCCACTGAAGAAAGACTATTTGAGTATAAATGAGCAAGAGTCATATTCGTTATTACAAAATCTGTATGTCCAGGCCACACCACAGACCAATTAAACCAGGAAACCTGGGGGTGGGAACCAGACATCAGTATTTGAAGGTTTCCAGGTGATCCCAGTGTGCACTGAAGGCTGAGATCCAATGACTGTGAAGGCCATTGGAAGTAGACAACCTCCATTTGCTTCTCAGACAGACCACTTCTCAGATGTGACACCTGGGGCTTCTTCCTGGCCCTCTCCCTAATCTCTTGAATCTGTTCTAATTTATTTTTGCAAAGTAAATAGATTTGTAAATGTCAGTATCTTATTAAAACAAATAGCACGGGACACACATTACAAATGACACACAAAGACATCACAACCCCCAAACTGAGGCAGCTGGTACTTTTTAAAACTCAAGTATATCATGATCCATTTCAGGGCGTAAGAATGTATGTTATTATACCCAAAGCATTTCAGTTAGGATTTGATACTTACAAAATGGCAGTTTAATCTCAAAGAATTACTCCTATTTCTACATAATTAGTTTGTTGTTTCATGGCAAGGAGAGGGTTTGGATGTTCTATGGAAAGATAGCCCTTGCTGGTTTGGCTCAGTGTATAGAGCATCGGCCTGTGGACTGAAGGCTCCCGGGTTCAATTCCGGTCAAGGGCACATGCCTCGGTTGCAAGCTCAGTCCCCAGTGGGGGACATGCAGGAGGCAATCGGTCAATGATTCTCTCTCATCATTGATGTTTCTATTTCTCGTTCCCTCTCCTTTCCTCTCTGAAATAAATAAAAACATATTGGAGGAAAAAGATAAATCTGGTGTATAGTTGATCATATCCTGCATGCCTGGCATGTGCTGGGCACTAAAATGTAGACATATAAATAAGACCTGGACTGAGACCCAGTGCCATGACCAGTGCTACTCAAATAGGCTGTTATAATAATCACTGTCATTTATCAACACTATACTATGCATTTCATGTATATAACTCATTAAATCCTCAAAGGCATCCCAGGAGGTAGGTACTATTATTGTTCCCCATTTTACAGATGAAGAGAATAAAGTACAGAAAGGTTAAGTAACTTGCCTAGGATCACACAGCTATTAAATGACAGAGCCTGCATTCAGATCCAGACAGCCCACTCCAGAGCCCTTGTGCTCAACCCTCAGGCTATACTGTGTCAAGGGAACAAAGGAGCAGGAAAGACCACTCTGGCTGTAGGAAGGGGATGCTTCCTGGGGAAGACAGCACTCGTGTTTGCCTTGAGAGATGGGTAGACTTTCAAGAGGCAGAGATGGGAAAAGAATTGCTTCCTGGCAAGTGGATGGCAGCTTTATTGAAGACTTGGAGTTTGGAAAACACTCTTGAAAAACGACATTTGGGAGACTAGTGGACATGATAAGGAGAAGGAAGATAACAGTGGGGAAAATGAACTAGGCAAAGGCCAGATTGTGGGACGTCCACGTGCCAGTAAGGATTTGGCTGTAGTTAATAGCCTTTCTAAAGGTTTCTGAGCAGCAGAGGCAACACGCAGCAAGTGGAGGAGGAACTAGAGGGTGAGATGAAGGCAGGAGACTACATCAGAAATAGTGTCAGAAATCCCGGCAAGGGGACAAAAACAGGCTAGGACAGTGACCATGAGATAAAAGAGGAAGTCCCAATGTGAGAGATAATCGTAGGAACTCACCAGGGCCTGGTACTGGAGTGAGCAGGAGTCAAAGGTGCATCTCATGTTTTGACACTGGAAGGATGGAGACACCATTAACTCAGGGAAGACAGGAACAGGCTTGGCTGAGGAAAAGGGGCAGATAAAATTCCTTTGGGAATGTAAGGAATCAGTCTCATTATTCTCAAGCAGGAAGATTTTTCTATTATCTGGAGCCCTGCTCAGGGATCCTTTACTTCCAAATTGTCCTGTGACCTTTTGCCTACTGAAATTGCAAGATGCATTTGTTCTGAGAGATTTTAGGAATTTTATCTTTACTTAGACTCTTCGGTCCTAGAAGGCTATGATGTGGTATAATTCTATCAAGAATACAGGAAAGCCAAAAGTTAGTTTCTTTGTTCAAGGAATTCAAAGCAAGGTGGGGAGAGGGGAGGGCGGGGCGGGGGGGGGGGGGCGGAGGCAAGAACTGCTGTCCAACTTGGGCAAAAGTTAAAACATCCTAGAATTGAATTTAAAGACATTAACAGTTCAGGACCTGCTGCTCTGATTCTGAAGAGGTGAACCAACACTCGGGGAGTGCCCAGGGCTGGACACTGAAGCAGGACACTCATAGATTCTGTTCTCAGAAACAGTATGGCTTATCCCCTCTGAATCAGCATCTTCCTGTTCCTAAGAGCCCCAGGTGATTCATAAGCAGAGGCATATATTTGAAGTATGGGCTTTGGAATCAGATGAATCTGAGTTTCTATCTCAGCATAGCCACTTTGCCTCCTGGACCTGCTTCATGTATAACATCATTCAGTGGCCCTATACCTTGGTTTCACCTTACAATAACCTGGGGAGCTTTCAAAAACTCCATGCCCGGACCACAAGGCAGACAAATTAAATCCGGATCTCTAGGGGTGGGATCCAGATTATCAGTAATTAAAGGTCTCCAGGTGATTGTAGCCCACATCCAAGGCTGAAAGCCACTGATGACTCTGAAGGACACGAGTGTGGCCACTGGAACCAGACAATCTTCATTTGCATCCCATGTAAGACTGGGGCTTACCCTCTCCCTAAGCTTTAGTGCCTTGATCTGTGAAATGGGCATGACATATAACAGAATCGTTTTCAAAGGGCTCGAAGCATTGAAGGTGACATATGTAAAGCACTTGGCACAAGGCACACAATGCAAGTCCTAGGAAGCAACACATAGCTTAAGGTATCATGTAAATGCCAACTTGGAGCCATCCTCAAACTTTCACATCAGAGGTGACTTCCAATTACTTGGCCACCAAGAGGTTAATGGATGTTGCCGTAGCTGTTTTATAAATGTAAGAACCTATTATTTTTCTTCATTAAATTGGAGAATGAGGCAAAGGCAGCTGGCAAGGAATGTTTTCAGAATAGGAGGGAGAAGGGTCACCTAAAATGATCCCAACTGTGAGGTCAAACAGGGTGAGGATGGAGGAAAGCAGACCATGCAGTGCTCTCTCTCTTTAGTGTCCGAACACTTGGGGCAACAGGTCCTGCACCTCATCCGCCCAAGGCCTCCCAGCAATCTTCCCACTTAGACCATCTAGAAGGGGAGTTGGAAAGGTCTTCAGAAAGACTCTTATGCGATGACTTCACATTTTTGAACTCAGCACATTGGAAACCCACGCCCTGGGAGTTGAAATGACACGCAGGGTCATATGCAATTTCAAGCCTCAACCAGGTGTAAAGTGACCCAGTCAGATGGAGAGGAAATAGCCTACTAGTGAAAAAGAAACTGAATGAAAGGGGAAAATAAAGACATAATAGGGCTTTGAACCAGAGCTTTATAAATACTTGTGGCTTTAACCTGCTCAGGAGGTAGATAAGCATGTTCCCTTTAGTTTGTCCTCAAATTCAACCTCTCACAAGAGGTTAAGGAACACACCCAAGGTTGGAATTGACACTCAGACCTCCCGACTTCCTGGCTTTGGAGCTGAGAGCTCAGCGTCCACCTCCCTGGCCTATCAGGAAAAACATCTGGGTTATAATGCTTGAGGATGGGATATCAAGGGGAAGTGGTGGGAGTTTGGTTCTTTAAGAAACCCTGAGCAAAACTGCCTAGGACTCAGCCCGGAGGCCCCTCCCGTGGCCTGAGTCACAGGCTCAAACATTTCCTTGCTTCTCCTATGCTGGACGCTCCCCTTGTATGGCCTTTAAGAAAATCTATTTCAGAGGTCAGATGGGAAAGAGAGTCGGCTCCAAAATGTGTGAACATCTTCTCCTCCCTTCCCCAAGCAGCTGTCTCAGGTAACAAAGCCTTTCCATCATCATTTCTCTACCAACAAACTGCCACATTGGCAAATGCCTACTTAAAGCCAAGAGAGGAACAGGCAGGACCACAAGAAGAAAACACAAGGGGAAGTCATCTTTAAAGGCCAAAAGGTTATATAAAACATAATAAAATACAACTGTTTCCTTTAAATTTTTTAATGGCCAGGAAATGGTATAGAATAACTGCCAAGTCACATAAATTAACTTTTTGTTAATGTTTGTGATCCCGGAAAGAACTCTATCAGTCGACGCTAACTGCATGTGAGTTTTCATCCACTGTCTGGGTGTGTGGCTGAGTGTGGGCCATGGACCCATCTTTACATGGTCCAGAAATAAAAGCGGCTGCCGTGTTTGGCAGGCTTCAGATCTCCTTCTACTGGAGGGTTGGGCTCTGGTCTCGTTCTTGAGTGATAGGGATTCTCCGGTAAAGGTCGATCTGTTTTCACTTTGGTGACCTGCGAGGGGTGAAGAGGAAAGACGCAAAGGTGAAAGTCAGGTGGAGTGGTCTGTGACCCCAGACGCCTCCCATTGTTTCCTCTCTGCTTCTCTGCCCCAACTATTCCTCTTCTCTGAGCGCCAGCAAATCACATTTAGACTCATTCAACCCTTGAGTAAACATTTAAGACAGTTCACTTTGTGTCACTCCACATGGCAGAAGTTTGGGACACAGAAGGGAACAAGATATACCCTGTTATCAAGGGGCGCAGTCTAGTGAGGGAGCCAGACAAGAAAATCAACTGCGACTTCCTCACCGAATTACGGTAACCGTGACACAAACCGAGTGCTAGGAGAGCAAGGACTCCACACACCTAACCTGTCCTGAGGGTTAGGGGCCTGGACTATTTCGGGGGGAAGTGGGGTGGGGAGCAACACTTAGCTTAATCTTGAAGGATGACCAGGAGCCAACAGGAAGATTAGGAAGATTCCCAGTGAACAGTCCATATGTAGGCAGAGAGGCATGTCTTTAGAATGGCCAAAGCAAAGGCTGCATGGAGAGTGGAGGAAAACGGTGCACCCACCTCACCACTACCCAGTGCTGTCAGAAGAGATGCTGGGCACATTGTTCCACCACCCTGGGGGCAGGGGTCCTCAAACTACAGCCCACGGGCCACACGCAGCCCGCCGAAAACGTTTATCCGGCCCGCCGGGTGTTTTTGCCGCCGCTGCCTGTTGCTGAATTTGTTCATAGTTTTTTTTTAAACTATAGTCCGGCCCTCCAACGGTCTGAGGGACAGTGAACTGGCCCCCCGTTTAAAAAGCTTGAGGACCCCTGCCCTGGGGTATTTTGCAGAGTTCACTGTGGCTACCTAGCTAATTCTCAAAGCCAGGTCTGTGTCCAAAGCCTGTGCTTTTCCATAGCACGCTACACTGGTAGGCAGGGGCCAGCGGATGAAGGGTAGGATATGCCAAGGTGTTTGAATTTTAACCTGACGGAAACCCGAAGCAGGGAAGTAACTCAATCACATCTTAAGGCTGAAAGGTGTAGAAGCTAAACTGGACAGAAGCGGAGAGCTGAGCTCACAGGCCAGGCAAGAGGGTGGAGCACTTAACTGTAGAATAGGGAGAGAGATGGAAAGTGTTTACACCCACATTATCCCCTCAGATGGCCACAAAAATCTCTATTGGAAACCCAGCAGAAACTGCTCTCATTTTAAAGATGAGGAAATAGGCCCAGAGAAGACAGATAACTGTCCGGTTATCTAGAGGTCTGAACTCTTAAGTCACTCCAGGTAACATGACCAGATTAGTCTTCCTATATCATGAACAGAGCTTTCATGTACACAATTAGTAATTATTACCATAACCACCCTACAAAGCATTATTCTCTCTAGTTCACAGATGAGGACAGGGAGGCTGACTTGCCTAAGATAAAGGTACACGGTAAATGTCAGAGCTGGTGCCAGAACCCAAATCTTCTGACTACAAGTCCAGAGTAGTCTTTTGTTTGTTTTTAAAACAGTGTTCTCATCTCTGTGCTGTAATTAGAGATCAATAATGGTTCTTTACTGCTGGACAGAGTAATTCCAAATGCCCAGCTGGCATTTGAAGCTCCTTTAAGGAAATTCAAGATATCTCTGAAATAAATTGAGAAAAATCTTTCTCAAACTGAAGGCAATAAAGGAACTCTTTAAAAGACAAATGATTGTGGAAAGAACAATAACAACTTTCTCTTCTGCACCACACTCAAAAGAAAAAAGGTGCAGAAGTATGTGGTTAAATGAATTCCTAGGTAAATGACCTTGAGCAGCCTACTTAACCTTCAATTTCTTATCTCTAAAATGGGGCCACGAGCTCCCAAGGTTATTAGGATCATATACAAAAAGTGCCTGATGTATAAACAGCAGGTGCTCCATAATTCCTTTTCAGTATTACTATTGCCAGGATGATAGAATCACGGGTGAAAGAGCAATTCTGACTAGGAGAGTCAGAAACTTCAAAGGACATGACATGAGAGCTGAGACTAGACAAGTGGGTAGGAATCACTAGGGGAACAGGTTCGATTCCGGTCAAAGGCATGTGCCTAGGTTGCAGGCTCCTCCCTTGCCTGGGCCCTGGTCAGGGTGCGTGCAGGAGGCAAGCAACCAATGTGTTTCTCTCACATCGATATTTCTCTCTGTCTTTCCCTCTCTCTTGCCCTCTCTCTGGAAAAATATCCTCAGGTAAGGATTAAAAAGAAAAGTGGATGAAGCTAAAAGTCAGGTTTTGTCCAACTGACAGAAGGAGACTGGATACTGATTTCAGCATAACTAAAACTGATAATCCCCTTAAAGAAATAACTTTTGAAAAAAGGAAACAAAATTTTTTTTTTTAGGGTTTTAAAAGTGTTAACACACAGACTCCTAAATAAATATGCTTTCTTAACAGCATGAGTTGTTAATTCTCTCTTCATGAAAGACAGAAATGAGAAAAGGTAGTTTTCATTATTAAATATGCAAGTTCCACTTCTTTCCAACTTAGAATTATCAACTATTAAAAATTTGTTCAGTGCAGCAAAAGAAGGTATCTGAAGTAAAATAATCAAGCCAGATACTAAAAACAAACTGCTAAGCCATCCATCTTCTTGTGACACTGAGCTTAAGACCACAGACAATATACACCCACAGAAGGAAATGGACAGTAACTGGTGGTCTGTGTGCCCAGCACGAGGCTGGAGATTCACGTGGGCTCTCTAGCTTAATCTTCACAGAAAACTGGGATTAACACAGGTGCCAGACCTGATATGATAACAAATTTTAAGCAATCTGCTTGGGATCCCATAGCAATTAAGAAGTGGAACCAAGATTCAAATCTACTATCTGTCTCCACTAAAACCTGAGTTTTCCCTCCATGCCTTGGTACGTATGCTGTCCCAGAGGTAATGCAGGGTGATGAGGCTCAAGAAGCAGGGATGGGTCACGAAGGGCTTTTTATGCCAGGATATAGAGAGGACACTTTATCTGGCAGGCACAGGGAGCCCCTAAAAAGTTTTTTAAAAGAAAGTGACACTTATTTTCCACACAGATCATGCCTATCATGAAGATATAATTATTTCCTAAATTCTTCAATGTCAGAGGATGCACTGTCTTCTAAAATCCGAATTGATCTACCTCCCTTCCCAGAAATACACATAGCCCAGGTTAGAAACTCCTGTCCAAGAAGCGGGGACACTGAGAGGATTCAACAATTCTTCCTGCTGATCTATAGGAATGATGACTGTAGAAGAAGGGAGAAAGAGTGGGAAGTGAAGAAAAAAGACATTCAGGTTTCCAGCTCTGATGTTTCAACATGTGGTGGTATCACAACTGAGGTAGGAAATACAGGAGAAAGGGTAGGAAAACTTAACTACAGGCATGTACTCTGTTTACCTTAGTTATGTTCCTGAAAAATCTGGCATAACCCCGATCCTATTTCCCTACCGAATTCCACCATAACCTCAATGTTTTCAACCAACAATGTGTCTGTCCCCTAACACTTTGTTTATCCTCATCTACTCCCTTCTGTTCTTCAATTAGTTAATTACTCACAAACAAATCTGCACATGCTGGAAGATCTATTTAAAGGAGCATCTCTGTTAAACTCCCTTCGGGACTGTGCATAATCACTCCCTAATTAACCTGTTAGGTAAATTTGGATTTCTCACATCATACCTGTACTCGCAGAGAACCCTATTCTGACCACCTCCAGCCTTAACCTCCCCTTAGTGGGAAAGTGAGCAGAGTGAGACGCCAGCAGGACACTCTTTTTACCTTGGACAGCTCTCCCAGGTCAGGGCGCACCCAGCCCAGCTTGTCTAGCACACACTCGTCAAACTTTGCCTGCTGTTTGCGACAGCGACGGAATAGCTGCAGGCCACTATAATCAATGCAGGTCCAGTATTCTGTAAAAGGTTCTGCACAGTGACGCTTTATCTGCCTGGAAAAGAAGGGTAGGTTAGGGGGGCTCTTTGCAAAACAATGAAAAACAGAAATGTGGGGGGAAATAGGAACAAATCTCCTCACTTGGAGCCTATTTATTCTTTAGATCCAATTCTAAAGATTATCAACTTAGCAAGTTTAGAAGAGACAGAGGCATAAGCAGAGATGGGCATGCGGATAGAAGTCAGAGGGGACAGATAATGGCAAAGGAGACAGATTATAAAAAGCAAATACACAAACTACCAAGCAGAAGATCCTGGGAGCATTCAGGTTAGAGGCAAAATGCCCTACACTCCTCAAAAGCTCAAGGTCCTCATTCTATTAATGCACAGAACAAAAAACAGAGATTACTGTTGTCAGTAATAAAGTTAAATTATATTTGGTGCTCTTTACGAAGAAGCAAAGTAGCATATTAATTATTTTGCAGAATTCTCCTTCTCTTACCGTTCAACTTTCCTAGTAATCAAGTAAATGCAAACTAAAGCATAAATAAAATACCGTTATTTTATGTAAAAGCTGTATTTGAGGCCATGGAAGAAATGCAGAACATCTCTTGTCCCAAAAGAATAATTTTGAACTACTTGCTTGTCATATTCCAAGACTCTAGCTACATTCAACATAGGAATCTTATTTATCATGGCTCAGAAACAACCTCAGAGATGGTCTACGGAAACAGAAAAATCTGCTTTGTATTTCTGCTTGGTTCCATTGGTATCCGTTTCTTATGTACCCTTTGCAGGTATTCTGAGTATAACAAGTATAACCTTGGGGGTGATGGGGTGTGCAACAGGAAGGAAGAAGGACTATGAAAGCCCTAGGGAACTATTCTGATTTACCTCTAGCCACACCTGGCTGGATTTCCATGGTGCACAAAAGTGATTCGCAAGTGATACTGCAAATCACTGTCAGTGAGCTACTGTTTCCAATGGGAGTTTTGTAGAAGAAGGTCTGCAAACCACTACTCTAGTACTTAGTCTCTGCTCTGGGCTCTGGCACCCTGGCACCCGTATCCAACAGTCATCTACCAATACCTACAACAAGCAAGTTCAGCAGTGAGAAATTCCTCTCCTGGAGGCAATTAGACACCTCAGGAACTCGTGAAATTCAAATATTTCCCACTTAAAAAAGAAAAAAACACACACAAATATTTGCTTTGCCAAAGTTCTCTCAGAAAATAAAAAAATCTGGAAGTATTTAAGATCTTGCTTCCTGGCAATGTTGTCAATTTTGGCTCAAATAAACTCTTAATTAAAAAAAATTAAAGAAAGATTAAAAAATAAGCAATGTTAGAAATCAAATCAATGCAAATTCAAGCAAGAATACCATTTTGGCCCTGACCAGTCTGGCTCAGTGGATAGAGCGTTGGCCTGCGGACTGAAAGGTCCCAGGTTAGATTCTGGTCAAGGGCATGTACCTTGGTTGCGGGCACATTCCCAGTAGGGGGTGTGAAGGAGGCAGCTGGTCGATGTTTCTCTCTCATTGATGTTTCTAACTCTCTATCCCTCTCCCTTCCTCTCTGTAAAAATCAATAAAATATATTAAAAAAAAAAAAGAATACCATTTTGTACCTACCAAATATTTAAATATGTAATGCTGGTGAGGTATACCAAGATTCAGTGCTGAGGATGTAAAAATGTTTAAAGCCTTTTATAAAATAATCTCACTGTTGGGAAATTTATGTCAAGGAATTAATTTAAAAATGAAAAAGATCTACACACAAAGGTAATCACTGCAGATTTGTCCAAAACAATCAAAGCTGGAATCAACAATGATGTTTAATAATAGGATTTGGTCAAGTACATTATGGTTGGTTTATCCACCAATAGAATATTATATAGTCAGTAAAAATGATGACCATGAAGAGAATATAACAACCTGAAAGAACGTTCCCAACAGTTTCAAGTGAAAAATCAATTTTAAAATGTAGACACACTATTTTAACCACAAAAATATCTTTGCATGTGGACAAAGACAGCAGAAACAAAAAAAGAAAACCAGCCATTATGTGACAAAATTTGATTTTTTCCTCTAACGTCATTTAGCAGACATCTGTGGGTTTTGCCTAGCCAGCAGTCATTCCCCATTCTTCTGTAACATCCTTCTAATTTTCCTTTGGGAAACAACCCTTCCTATCTCCCAGCAATGTGGTTTAGATGAAGCTAAGTCTACTCCCACTTCAGGCCAGACCAACCATAGCATTTATCTCCTGCAACACAACTAATTCAAAGATAAGCATATGAAGTCAACCAGCCAGGCCAATCAGAGTCAGTCCAGGGACCTCTGCTCATATTACTGAAAAATTGGCACTCTGTGTCTACATCTGCTAAGCAAGAGGCATAGCAGCTTGGAGAAGCTGGTGCCCATTTTTGCTATAGCAAGGAAAGGGTCTCTTTGAAAATAAGTTTGACAGAGAAAAGCAGAACTAAGAGATCGGGGGAGGAGAGGAAAAAACATCACGTTGTTGTGAAATTATTTAAGGCCTTGAATCCAGCCCTGCCCAATGCCAGTCCTATTTCTGGACTTAACAGTTGCATGAGCCAAATCCCTTGGAGTTAAATTCCAATCCCTTTTAACAGAAATCTGATTAATATGGCTGTTAAACCATTTTTCTACAACTACAATTTGGATTTTTTTACTTATAGTATCAAGCACAGTGGCCTACCCAAAACTTGACTCTGAACACACTTTTCTTTCCATCCTGTGTGCTCTGTAGTAATGGCCATGATAACAATCTAGGGATACCAGCTAGCGAGCACTGAGCTGAGTTGTTCTTCTGTGCCTTTTCAAATTTTTCCTAACAATTCTGTATAAGATAGGTAGTATTCTATAATTTGGAAATTGAGATTCATGAAGATTAAAAACTTGCCAAATAATAAAAACAAATAACAAAAATAACTATCAGTTATTGTGTGCTTACTTTGGTCTCTCTGATTTCGAAGACTCGCTCTGCCTACTAACATTAGTCACTAAAATGATCCTTTCCTTTAATTAGCTGATGTTCACCGAGATACATGTACCTGGATGGTTCAATCAACTAGGCACTGATGTGCAAAGATTTTTACCTGAAGAACTTCAGAGCACACTGGTTGACAAGCTTGCCTTCCTCTAAACACCGCCGCGGGTCTTTCTCTTCCCAGCGGCACAGCATGAACTCCTTGTTGGGTTTGTCGCACTGAGCTCCATAGTGATGGGCCGCAGCTTTAAGCACAGCTGAACTGACTTTCACCTGGGGAAAGGAGCAATGGGAGAAAGAGCACAGATTTGTGACTAGGACATGGATTCCTCAACTTCACCTCAGGCTTCAAAACAGAGGGGACACAAAGATAGCTGTTATGACTTTGCCCAAAAAAGTAAAGACAAGGGGACTGCCCTAATGACCCTCGATGATCTTATCTACACTGCTTTGGAGATCACAAAGCTCTTTCACATCCATGGCTTTATACACCGTCAGGACCCTCTCATATCCCCATTTAGACATGGAAATGGCAGCCCTAACAGAACCCTTAGTCTGTATAACAAAGAAGGGAGCTCTGAAGAAAGATGGAGGCTTCTGGGTGTAATGGGAGAAATCAACCCTGGAGAGCTTTTATGAGTCTCCTCTCCAGGATCAGAAGTGATAGAATATCAGAGTGTACAAGAATATTAGCTAATACCTAACTAATACAGGTGCCAGAATAGTAGAGTATATCTAATAGTAGAAAGATATCTAAAACCCCCAGAAGATTGCACAATCACAGAAGATGAGAGACTAGAAAGCATGAGTACGATCATGTCATCCACCAAGTTATTACTAATAATAAAGTACTAAAAAATGTGAATTTTTAAAAATTATTGAGTATATCCCAGGTAGCATCCCTACAACTGTCAGTCTCACTTGATTCCAGTACTTTTTTGAGGCACCAGGGCAGCTTACAGTGGCTCACAGGAACTGAGCCGCACCTGGCTATCTACCAGCTGCTGCAGGCACGGCCCTGCTGGCCTTTTTGTACCTTTTCTTGGGCCAGTACCACAATGTTTTAATTACTATAACTTATCAGAACACTTTGTTGTCTGGGAGGACCATCCTTCCCATTATTCTTTCTTCTCAAAATTGTCTTGGCTATTCTTCCAGACAAACACCGCCCTCCACAAAAAAAAAAAAAAAAAAAAAAAAAAAAAAAATTGCAATGGAACTGCATTAAATTTAGTTATATATTAAATTAAAAGAGCATTTTTACATTATTGAGTCTCTGTTCAAATTTTCCACCTCAGAGTCTTTCTCTAATCATCTCATGTAAGCTTGCATCAGTGGTCACCCTATGTGTGACTGCTAGAAATGTAAGGTCCAAGAGGATATGGATTTTTCAACACAGATCCAATAAAGATGTCAAACTATAGTGAAATTTTAACATTTACTTTGGTTCACCAAGCACCCAAAATAGTGTCTAGCAGAAGTAACTGTTGAATATTCACTTCTGGGCCAGGTATTGGGGATACAATAGCTACAAATAAGGTAAGAATACATGAATCATGCCTTCTTATCCAGAATGCAGTATGCCACTACGCTTATTCAGGTCATTCTTGTGTCCCTTGGTTAGTTTCCTTCACATAGGAACCCCGCACATTTCTTGTTCATTCCTCAGTACTTTAACAAGGATCTTTTTTCTATTAGATTTTCAAATTGGTTACTGCTTATGTGTACACTGCATCTTCTCTCTAGCTATACCTTACTGGACTCTTGTCAATTCTGATGCAAAACTCAAGAGAATTAATGAAAAAAATTCTACTTACAAATAGAAACTGCTTCCTCTCTTTTCTGATATTTACCCTTCCTTTCTTGTTCTCTTTCCCATCTTATTGCTCGGACCCAGACCTCCAGGATAGCACAGATGAACAGTGATGGTGGCAGCACCCATGCCTTTTTCTTAACTTCAAAGTTTGGAATGACATTTGCTGCTAGTGTCTGCGATATTGTTGTTTAGATTTTCCTCATTAATAACGTTTCTTTCTGATCCTAATTGGTTTTGTTTTACTGATGTTTTCTCCATGAGGAAAGACTGAAATGTTCAGGTTTCCTTTTCATTAATCTATAAATGTAAGGCAGAGCATTAATAGATTTTCTAAAACTGACCCATTGTATCTAGAATAAAATCTAGCCTGTCACAGTATATTATGTTTTATGATACCACTGGATTTTATTTGCAAATATTTTATTAAGGAGTTTTATGTGAAAATTTTATAATTATTATTTCTATAATAAAAATTATATAATTTATTTTATGAATTTCACCCAGCTTAGCTTAAATTATTACTAAACTAAAAGGCAAAGAAAGATGAAGAGAGTAATTCATCTATATACTACAGAAAGAGGAAAATAAAGTTATGACTATGTCTATTAATATTACAATTGTTACAATTATCAAAGCAATTACTTACTTATGATATAAGTGAAATTTGCCATGGCAATGCTAGTAAATTTGTTTAAAAATCTGTAAAATTTTGTATTAATAAGTGTTTATTTAGGTTAATTAAGTGGTACACACTTGTTTTGCTATATCACCTATAAAGAACTGGAAAAATAAAAATCAAGACACAAACTTTTTTTAAAAACTTAATATATTTTAAAAATTAAGCTAGCTATATTTATTTCTTTGTCAAATGCCTTAAAATATCTTTAAATGGCTGATTTAATAACTCAAATGCCTTCATAGCTATCATGCCCCAAAAGACAACGGAATTCTTTGCTTTACTTTCCTATAAAAGTCGAGGTCCTACCAAAATCTAGATACACCCATGTTGCTGAGCATGTAACATATGCTATCACAGGGAAATAAAGAATGAGAGCCACACACTGACTCTATCCTGAGGAAAAAGAGATGTGCTCAAGCTGACATAGCAGGTCAGTGGAAACCACAGAACTGGAATCCAGAGAATGACCTCCAACCAGGCCTCTTCCCATGACATCACTATCACTGAGGTGGCACAGAACTTCAGAATGTCATCATCTCCCCTCACCTGCTTCTTCACTGAGACTGAGGAATTCCAACAGAAACAACATCCTTTCACAGCTGCTCACTGTGAATACCCTCTCAAATTCATTCAGCTCCCTTTGTCTCAAAGAACACAGAACTTCAACCCCCTTCCTCATTTATCCTCACCACAGCCTCACTGCACAGGTTTATGTTCTCTGCAGGTGTGGAAAAGAGGCAGAAAAAGTCTTACAATCTACAACCAATCATCTAGTCCTGTTCTCTCTTCCTTAAATCACGTCAGCGCCTCTTTTTATAGTACTTAATTTATACTATGACTTATATTTTACTTAATTTCTGTAAAATGAAGGATAATAGTACCTATTTGATAGAACTGTTATGATTAATATATTGAGAACAGTGCCTAGCACACAGAAAGCACATTATAAGTATTAGTTTGTGTTTTTTACGGAAAATTGCCAATGTGTACAAGGATCTTCCAGCCCAAGCTGCTGACTACCTTCTCCATAGGGTGTACCATCACTCAAGTCAGTGAGGTCCAAAATGTGTTTAACTTGCCTCTCAACCTCATCCTCCTTCTGGCTTCCTCGGTCCCAATGTCAGGCTGCAAATCTGACATTGATTCCTCAACCTTTCCTGCTCTGATACCTAAGTTTTGGCTAAGTCTGATCAATTCTAAACAAATCTGTTCTTTCCTCTCTGTGCACAGTCACCAATTATGTTGGGGTCAACAGCCACCAAGACTAGTCTCCCTCTTTTTCTTGTCCTCTCTCCAATCCACTCCTCACAGAGCTGTTGCGGTGATCTTCCTAAAAGACAATTCTTAGTTTACTCTGCTACTGAAACAAATTAACAAAACCCTGGAAGGATTCGGGTTTAACAGAAGCATAAAGCCTAAACTTCCTATGGGTACTCAAGCCTCTGGATCCAAATCACCCATGACACTTCAAACGGGAACTTCTTGCTGTTCTCTCAGAACACGGAACTCCCTGGTCCCAGAACCCATTTTTGGTCCCCTGCCTTTTCCCATCTCCTTACCTTTGCTCAGATCCTACCCTCACTTAGAAAGCTCTTCACTCCATCTCTGCTTATAATTCTTACATTATGCCCAAGAAGTGTTTGCTCTGCTCCCTTTATAGCCTCAGGAAATTAATTCTACAGCTGGAATCACTTCATCGTACAAATAAAATAACGGTGTCTGCAAATGCTAAAAGTGACTAATCAAGGTAACTGAGCAGTTAGGACTAGAATTTAGCGACAACTGCAAATCATACTCTCTTAAACCACGTCTGCCCCTCTTCCATAGCATTTAATTACACTGTCTTTTATTTTAGTTATTTATGTGATTACCTGTTTCTCAATTTAACTGTGTGAAGCCTAAAGGCAAATGTATTCTAGATATAGAATACTTGCAGAAAGTGAAACCTCAGATGTTTGTGGTACCAAATTAAAGTTCCAATGAAAAATACACCAAGTTGAGAGCAAGCCAGCTTCACAGTGGGGCAAGAAACAAAAGATTGACTGTTGGCAGCACTCACCCCCACCCAACCCCCTCCTCCACCTTTTAGCAAATTTCACTTTATGATAACGTCCCTGAACACAACTAAAAATTTCTTCATCTGAGAAAAAAAACAGTTGCCATTGTCACAGCCATAGAAGATTAAATGGGGTAAAAACACTTAATACAGTGCCTGGGATATAATTTCTGGCACATTAATTTTAGTCTTGCTGTTCTCTCCTTCATTGTGGCCTGATCTTTTCTTCTGCCTGATCCTGTCACTCCTCTGCCTTAAAACCTTCCACCTCCCCCCCATCGCCTCACTTACAGGATAAGGTCCAAAATTCTTAGTCTGGCCTTGTGCAGGTTGCTTCCCAGTCCTGCCTCAGCCCAGCGACCTCTTCCGGCTCAGCGGCTGCTGCTTCCCACCAACACTAGAGACGCGTCAAATAGCACTTGTCTCCCTAAATAGAAAAGGGTCTGCCCCAGAGAGTCACTTAAAAGCATGGCTTTTACAATCAGAGCCGGGTTCCTATTCCAGCTCGTCCACTAACTAGCCAGGTGACCTTGGGCAAAGCACGTCCTCCCTCATGACCTGTTCCTAACTTACAACATGGCGAGACCAACCATATCCCTCCTGGGTGTCGCTGGAAGGATGCTCGGAAATCCCACCTGGCGTCTGGGAAAGGCTTCTCGGGTTTGCTATCCTGGTATTATACGGTCTTCACTTCCAGCGCTAGCTACACTGTGCTGTCATTGCTCCTCGAACGCCTCCTTATTAGATTATAAGCTCTATGAGGGCAGGGACATTGCCTGTTGTTTTCCAGTGTATGCTCATACGGCAATTATTCAAACTGTACCTCTTGAATAACTGAGTGCTTTAAATGGCCTATTGCCGAACACCTCCCCAGGGCTGTTAGCAACTTCACTCTCCAATACCATCTCCTTTTCCTGCGGGTTTCCACCTCCATTCTAATGCACTCTGCACCGACGACGCTACTGTGAGCAGCTGGGGCTGCATACTTACTTCGCAGGGAGGTCTGAGTATTAAGTGACATGAAGTAAGTAAAGTGCCCCTGGTCGGTGCTTAATAAAAAGTACCCACTGTAACTCACAGTAAGAAGCAGGTCGCTGTGGGGGAGGGGGGCGAGTTCACCAGCCACAGCGGGCTGGAGTGGCGACTCCCGGAGCTGAGGAAGGGGCGTCCGGGGGGTTGACCTGTTTGTGTTGGGGGGCTGGGGGTAAAGGGGCCTGGGCCCAGGGTCCGCTGAATTAAAGCAGGGCTGGGCCCAGGACCGGGAAACTTCAGCCACATGCCCCGCTTGCCTGCCTCCCGGACAAGTCTCACCTCCTCCACTTTCAGATCCTCCAGAGTAGGGAGCTCCACTATCCCCGGCATGATGTCGGTAACCCCGACCCGGACGAGGCAGCCGCAGCCGCGTCGCCCCCGTCTCCTTGAACTCCCCTTCCGACCGCGGAAGGCCGCCTACAGCCTGCGCATGCGCAGCCGGCGGCACGCAGGCGCACTGCTCTGCGCTCCTGCGAGCCAGGGAGCGTGCGCAAAGCAGGAAGTTGAGCGACCGCGTTGGCTCCGCCCACCCCTCCTGGTTGTCATAGTGAGGCGGTATACACTGAGGCTCCGGGGTCCCAAGGCCTGGAAACGAAGCTAAGCTGGCGGGCGCCATGCAGTACACGGGGAGCCAATATATTGGAGAATTTGTAGATGGGAGGTAAGGGCCTCATTTCATTATGTCTTGAACATCTGTGCCTTTTAAAGGGACCTTGTAGTAGACACTTTCACAAACTTTATCTCTTTTAACCTTCAGAACAACAATTTCAGGTAGGATTGTTTATTCCCATTTTACAGTTCCGTAAAATGCGACCCAGAGAAGTGAAGTAACTTGCTCAAGCGTCAAAGCTGAGATACATTCATTCCATATATATTTGGGCTGAGGCAGAGGCAGTGGGTCTGCAGGAAATAGAAACATGTAACAGTTTGGGGATTTCATTGCCAGGACTTGGCAGTTGATTGGCTCCTAGTCCTACTCACAGACTGCTTCCAGTCCCAGCCCAGTGCCCAGCTCCAAACTTTGAACTGGAGAATTCTGATACCATTTGATGAAAATTGAGAACTCTGAGGAGGGGCTGCTTTGAAAAAGAAGAGGGTGAGTTCCATTTTGGATGAGCTGGAGATGTCTGTAGAAGGTTTATAGAAGGACAATGATGTCCAATTTGCAGTAATAAAAAGGGGAGCTAATCTCAGAGAAGGATTAGATGGAAACTATGCTTAGAAATGATGTGATGGGACTAAGCAAAGAAGAGAAAAGGATCCATGTCTATTAATTTTTCCTGATCACAAGCCAAGTATAAGAGCAAGAATTAAAGGAAATATAAACCTAAAAAAAAAAAGAAATTATATGATCTCAAGCAAAGTGGTAGTAGAAGAAGAAAGATTTCTTTCTCTTTTTACTTCTTGCAATAGAATAAAGGCAAAACAGTTTTTGAGCTCTTAGTATATGCTGGGCATTCTGCTACAGTTTTGTAGCCATCATTTAATTACCGCAACACCTTTAGGGGGTTGTAGTCATTATCCCCATTTTGCAGATGAGAAACTGGCTCAGAGAGGTGAAGAAGCTTGTGTAAGGTCACACAGGCACAGAGAGGTGAAGCCAGGCTTGGACTCCAGGTCTGCATGGCTCAGAAACTGTGCTTTAACCACAGTGCTTTCGCGATTTGGGCCTGGGTCTCAGTGGCATCTGTCATCCATTCAGTCATCTCACTGACCTTTCTGTTTCCTTCATTTCTTACTCAGTAGATGTTTGTAGAGCATCTGTTTAAGAAGAAACATGGCCGAAACCGGTTTGGTTCAGTGGATAGAGCGTAGGCCTGCAGACTGAAAGGTCCCAGGTTCGATTCCAGTCAAGGGCATGTACCTGGGTTGCGGGCACATCACCAGTGGGAGATGTGCAGGAGGCAGCTGATCGATGTTTCCCTCTCATCGATGTTTCTAACTCTCTATCCCTCTCCCTTCCTCTCTGTAAAAAATCAATGAAATATATTTTAAAAAAAAGAAGAAGAAGAAGAAGAAACATGATTCTAAGAGTTGAGGATACCAAGGCCTTCCTCCTAGATCAGTGGTTCTCAACCTTCTGGCCCTTTAAATACAGTTCCTCATGTTGTGACCCAACCATGAAATTATTTTCGTTGCTACTTCATAACTGTAATGTTGCTACTGTTATGAATCGTAATGTAAATATCTGATATGCAGGATGGTCTTAGGTGACCCCTGTGAAAGGGTCGTTCAACCACCAAAGGGGTCGCGACCCACAGGTTGAGAACCGCTGTCCTAGATGCTTTGATTAAATAGGGGAGATGAAATATACAATTACTAGACAAGAGTCCAACAGAAGTACTAAACAAAAGCCTAAAGAAGTTCAGAGTTAGGAGCAGTGACTTCCAGCTAGTGAAGAAGAATGGAGAATGAGTAAAGGAATGAATGAATGAAAGCATTCCTTAAGCAGACCCATGTAACCCGTCCAAATTGTATACTTTTCCAAATATCCCACTTGTGGTGCAATGGGTAGGGTTGGGCTGGTCTTAGCAGGAAAGACACAGAGCCAGCTGCCAGGAAACCTGGCCCTAGTCTCTCCTTCACAGTGCTTACTGTGTGGCTTGGGCACACCCCTCCCCTCTCTGGGCCTACCCAGGGATGTTCCCAGGAATGAGGGATATTTCAGGACAGCCTCCCTGTGAGGAAGAGGAGGAACAGCTCACACTCTCCTCCCTTCATCAGCTCCTCTTATTTTTGAGCTTTTGAAGGAAACAAAACAAAACTTTTGGTTTTAAGCAGAATATTGCTGGGACGATAACATCTGAGGACCGGGGTTAGGTTCCTCCTTGTCTCCTGTGCCTGCTGGCTCAGATCCTCCCGCTGACACGCAGGGCTCAACGATTTCCCTTTGTCGTTACAGGATGGAGGGTGAAGCCGAATACATCCTCCCTACTGAAACAAGATACGTTGGGTATATGAAGGACGGCATGTTTCACGGCGAAGGAACCCTGTACTTCCCCAATGGGAGCCGATACGATGCCCTTTGGGAAAAGGGATTGGCTGTTCAGGTGATTAGCCTGGGAGGGCGACTGCAGAGGAGAAAGCCTCAGACAGGAGGACTCCCACCACACACACACACACACACATGCACGCATACACATGCACACACACCACCCTGCCTTCCCTATCCGGTGCCTCCTCTTGACATCCAGGGATCTGGGGTCTTCTCCCTCTGGATCCAGAAGGGCCCCTGGAGAGGCCCTGATGGTAGGCCATGATGAGTTTGAATCCTGTTAAGCTACTGACTGTGTGACCTTGAGCCCATGACTTCCCCTTTGAGACCCATGTTCCTTATCCAATAAATTGGGGATGAGTTCTTTTAATTTTCTATTGCTGCTGTTATAAATCATTACAAAGTCACTGCCTAAAACAACAGAAACATGTATCTTACAGTTCTGGAAGTCACAAGTCTGAAAAAGGTGAGCAGCCCAGCATTCCTCCTGAAGGTTCTGTGGGAGGATTCATTTTCTTACCTTCTCCAGCTTCTAAAAGCTGCCTGCATCCCTTGGCTCATGGCCACCCATCACTCTGACCTCTGCTTCCATCATTCCATCTCCTCTCCCTCTGCTTTTGTCATCACCTCATCTTCTATCACTCTGACTCTCTTGCCTCCCTCTTATAAGGACCCTGGTGATTACATTGGGCCCCCCACCCAGATAACCCAGGATAATCTTGACACTTCAAGATCCTTAATTTAAGGACATCTGCAAAGTCCCCTTCCCACGTATGCTCCGCATATTCACAGGTTCCAGAGATTAGATGTGAGTATCTTCGGGGACCATTATTCAGCCTGCCACAATAGTATCAGGCACTTCCTGGGATGGCTGTGAGAGTAAATGAAGCAGTATATGTGAGCACTTAGCTCAGTCTGGCACACAGTCGGCACTCAATAAGTATTAGCCGTTACTGCCACTGATGCTATCGTGTTAAGCCATCTAATCCAAGGATTCTTAACCTGGAATTTGTGGGTCACAAACAGAATTCAGGGAGCCAGCAAAAAGCTCCTGATCTATATAGAAAAGTTTTGTGTGTATGGGACTATATTTTTCTCTGGGTAAAGGATCTATAACTTTCATCAGTCTCACCAAGGGTGTGTATGGGGCTGGCTCATGACCTGAAAAAGATTTAGAAACACTCCTTGTCTTAGAGCTTAAAGACTCTAAGCCCCAGGAAGGGGATGTGACTTACCCAAGGTCACACAGTGAGTTAATAGTATTGGAATTTCCACCCGTGTTTCCTGATGCTCAGGCCAATGCGATGCCTGCATCCTGGGGCTCCCTTTAGCACTAAGGCAGCAAAAGCAGAATGGACGTGTTTGCACAAAGGACCGTGACAGATGGCTCTGACCTTTTGAGCTTTGATAACAATAAAAGAGTGGTAATAACTTTAAACATCTATTGAGTGCTTACTACAGGCTAGGCACTGTGCTAAATGCTTTGCATCTACTGTTTCCTTGAATTTCACTGAATCAACCCTATTAAATATGTACTATTGTTATCCTAATTGTACAAAGGAAGACACCAAGGGCTAGAGAGGGTAGGTCATCTGCCCAAGGTCACATTTCGTCATATTTTGAGTGCCAGGCACAGCTCAGCATTGAACATCCATTTCTTCTCATCATCTGTGAACGTTACCACTTCTTTTCTGTGGCAGTTCGGGCAGTCACCTCTTTCCTTGGCGTCTGTCCTTCTTGGTTAAAGAAGGGCTTCCTCAGATCCCCTGTGTGCTCCTTGTCGTCCAGGGCACCTACACCTTCTCCGACGGACTGCAGTATGACGCAAAGAACTGGCATTACTGTGACGGCTACGACCGGAGGTTTTACACCGAGATCTGCCACGGCCTGAAGCCTACAGGTACCCAGGCTCCTTCACTCCCAAACTGAGAGGGAGACAAAAGGCAGTTTTTAATAAGTGGGCCGTGGCCTATTGAAGTAACCCGAAGGAGAAGAGGAAATGAGCAGAGGACACAGAACACGAAAGAGCCAGGTTCTGGAGCCACTTGAGAAACTTATAAATGGCTCCTCCTGGATTAGTGATGACGGGGCCTGGACTTTGTCATGCGCTCTTCACCTGAACAGAGGTCTAGAGGCAAAGAGCTCCCCGGCCACAGGCCCCCACCTCTCACTCAGCGGCTGGTTTGGCCAAAGCTGGGCCTCTTCAGACCTGAAGGCAGTGCGATGACCTTCCCTGCACCCTGCCCTCTCCTCCTGTGACTCCCAGCAGAGCAGCTTGATCCTAAGCACCTACTTCCTTCCCAAGTCACTCAGCACTCTGCAGACCTCTCCAACAGCCCCCTTCAGTGCCAGGGCAGACATTGTTAGGGCAGGGAGAGGGTTCGGGCTGCCCCTTCACCTCTCTGAGCATCTGGGAGATGGTCATGTGCAACAGGCTTCAGGAGAGA